TTTACAAAGGTTTCTTGAAGGATTTCATGGAATAGATTATCAATTCCCTTATGAGTCTCTTCACCATCTAGAATACCAATTATCCAGATGTTTGTACATTTGATGGTATCTAGTATTTCTCATATACTATTCTCACTTTGGGGGCAATTTTCTCAGTCTTTGTGGTGGATTTTTCTAGGAAAGCAATATTTCACAGCTCAAGTTCAGTATCCATCTCAGGATGGGCAAAATCTTGAGGAGAATGGAGAAGAGATTGCAGTGTGGCCATCACGCTGCGGGAGGGAGGGGGGTCCTTTCTCTCTCTCTTCTCTCTCTTTCTTCCTCTGGCAAACGCATACCCTAGAGCAAATTTTTTAAAAAGGGGGTGCCAACAGATGATGTAGCAGTTACATCACTGGACTCCCATATGGTCAACCATGGTTTGAGTCGTGGACCTGGTGGCTTGAAAATTGCCCAGGCATGTGTGCGTAGGTGCCCAAGAACCCAGGAGGAGAATGGGGAAGGAAGAATTGTGGCTATTTCCCCAGGGGTGATTTCTCACTTTCCCTCTCTTGTCTCTGTCTCTCTCTCTCTCTGGCAAGAGCACATGCCCTAAGGCAAAAACCTCTTTAAAAACAAAACGGAAAGTGCTATGAATACCTCTATAAATATGCATGTAGCAAACTATAGTTACAGTGAGATTTTGCTACTTTTGATTTTGTTTTGAAAACTTTCCAAACTTTGTTTTATAAATCGATTATTGCTAATAGTTAATCAATGGACCGGCAGGTGGTGTGTTGGTTAAGGCACTGGATTCCCACATGGCCAATCACAGTTCAAGTCCCGGACCTGGTGACTTTCTTTCTTTTTTTCTTCATCATAATAAATGAACATTTATTAATTATATGCTCAGGGCATTACTCTGAAGTGAATAATGAACAAATAACTAGGTTTGGTAATATTTTGGTTCGAGCTCTCTATCCCTTTGAGAAGTTAAAACAGTTGAAAGACTGATCTGATTGCTGCAGACTAAGATTATTCCCATTCATTCTTTTTTTTTTTTTTTTAATATGGAATGCTTCACGAATTTGCATGTCATCCTTGTGCAGAGGCCATGCTAATCTTCTCTGTATCATTCCAATTTTGGTATATGTATGTGCTGCTGAAAAAAAAATGAACCGAGTGCTTGGTGGCTTGCTTTCTCACCTTCCTTCTCTCTCTCTGTCGCTCTCTAGTCAAATTTAAAAAATCATAATAATGAATGAAATTAAATAAAATATTTTTTTAAAAAGTTATTAGAGTATATTGTAATAAATTAAATAATAGAAAAGGGTAGAAAATCTTCCAAATTGGAGGAGGCCCTTAATGGTGCAAAGGATTAGGAGCCACTACATCTAGCCTAGTCCTGTCAATTGAAAAAACTGGAGTTCATTCAGGTACATAAAAGGCAAAACAGGAACTGGGACTTGGACCTGATGATTCCTGAACAATATGTTACATCATACACTGCTTCCCTGAAGAAGTCGCTGGTGAACTGGTTGTTTTAATGATATCATGTGAGTAATGTTCTGATAAACAATTACTTTTTTTAAGGGACTGCTGGAAGGTTCTGCTGCATACCAGGAAAGGCTAGAGATGGCAAAGAACTACTTCCAACTTTCAGTAAACCGACCAGAAGGGTGAGTTATAGTTAGGACTCCTACACAGTTAAATTGGTGGTTGGGTAATTCTTTTAAATAATAAGTTTGCTTGTTTTTGTTATTTGTAATCCGTTCATTTATTATAGCAAATACAGAAAGTTGTGAGAAGGAAATAAATTTTACCACCTTAATTTATTGTTTTCCAGTGTTTTTTTCCCAGTTGAGTTTTTTATTTATAGAAATTTTATGTTATATGTATTATTTTTACTCAATGTGATCTTATATTTTTCCACAGCATTGCAAAGTCTTTGTAAACACACACACATATGTATATATTTTTTAAGACAGAAATTTTTGCTATAGGGCATGTGTGCTCACCAGAGACAGAGACAGACAGACAGAAAGCAAGAAATTGCCCACCAAGGGAGATGGCCACATTGCAATCCCTTCTCCATTCTCCTCTCAGGATTTTAGACATGCATGCACAACAGACCCGGTTTGAGTTTCAAGCCATTAGGTCTAGGACTTAAACCATGGTTGGCCATGTGGGAGTTCAGTGAGGTAACGACTATGCCGTCTGCTGGCCCCAAATTTTTAAACAGTTTAAAACCCAAATGATATCTCCCTCTAAACCTGTTCTGGAATTCCAAATGTCTGGGTTTTTTCTAGAATATCTGAATTAATATCATAAACTTTTTATCAATGTATTTTAATAATACCACCATCCTCATTTCCTAGACCCCCTGGCTGTCTTTGGAGCTAGTCCATAGAGCCTGCTTAACATTATCGGGTGTTGCGTTCTTCTTTCTTATTGCTCTTCTACCTTAACTGTTTATTTATTTTACTGTGGCAGTACCTAAACTTGTCTCTCAATCTCTAGTGACTCTTTTCTCCTAATTCATCTCTTAGAGTCAGAATAACCTGCATAAAATATATCTCTAATCAGGGACCAGAAGATAGCATAATGGACTCCCACATAGTTGACTGGTTTGAGTCCTGGACCTGACAGCTTAAAACTCATACCAGGCATATGTGCGTGCATGCCCAAGATCTCAAGAGGAGAATAGAGGAGAATGGATTGTGGCATAGCCATCCCTCCGGGGGCTGATTTTTCACTGTCTGTCTCTCTTTCTCCCTGGCTAGCACATGTGTTGTATAGCAAAAATCTCTCCAAAAAACAAACAAACAAACAAAAAAACAAAAAATATATATATGTATATATACATATATACATATATATATA